CCCCCCGACCATCTCCCCCTGTGTTGTGGTGCGGCGGGGGGCGGGGCGTAGAGGGCGTAGGCCAGCGAGGCTGCGGGAGCCCAGAGCAGCCGCATAGCTCCCCTGAAACAAAAGGCCCGGTGGTGGACAGAGGCGGGACGGGGAGGGAGAAGGGGGGGGGGGTAGAAATCCTTTTGAGATGGTAAAATTAAATTAACGTGTTGACGTGCATGTTGATGATGATGAATTCTACGGCGCGGCGGCGCGGCCTCCCGTTCTCCATTTCAGCGGCGAGGGGCCGTTTTATTTTACGATTGCCGGGTCAAGCAGCGGCAGTAACGCCCCGAGAGAGAGGGACGTAGAGGGGCAAGGGGGATGAGGGAAAAGAGAGATGGGGCCCGGAGCGCTTTGTTTAGTCGACGACGCGAAGGGGGAGCTCCGAGACACACTCCGCGCGCCGAGAGAAGGGACCGCGGCGGGGTACGGGAAATCCAAACTAAATTAGGATGTGAAAGACTCCTCCCTTTTCCACCGTGTGTATTATTTTCTCAAACGTATACCTCTGCAATTCCTACTGATTCTAGTGTTTCCCTTTTCCGTCGGTCGCCTTTTCCTCCCCGCGGCTCGTTGTTCGGCCGCGTCACGCGCGTGCGAGCGAGACGGAGCCAGTCACGGCATTCTAAATCACGCGAGGCTTTATGGTGAGCTAGAGAGAGAGAGAGGGAGAGAGGGCGGAGTATGTTTAGCATAAAGAGCAAAAGAGTCGGACAAACTCTCCTCGTAATATCGACCCCTCTAGCGCCCCCGTGCGCTCTGTGGAACCCCTCCGGTGAGTGAGGCGTACACCGTGAGGAGCGCGAGGCGTCGAGTGCCGACCACATTTCCTCGTCGATGCGGTTCCTTTCTGCGTTCTTTTTATTTTTTAGGTTAAAAGCCGAATGAAGGACAATGAGTTGAGAGGTTGCCAGCAGGGGCAAGGGATGGAGCATTGCGCAGGCGGAGGGATTGGCGTTGTTGTTGATGTGGTCGTTACTGTTGTTGTTGTTGTCGTCGTCAGTCGTGCTTGTCATGGTTTGGTATTCAAGACGCAAGGGTGTCGAGGCAAGAGAAGAAGGAGGGAAAGGAGCGGGGAAGAGGGGCCCCGCAAAGGGGCTGATCCGATGCTTTGCTTTGGGCCCCCCCGGATCAGGGAGGCATGCCTCAGATTGACATTGACCAACGAACCAAGGAGGATGTGCTGCAAGGACGAGTAGAGGCCCGGGAGAGGAAGAGGGAGAGGGGGGGAGGGAGGATGCTGTCTGGCAGTGATAAATGGCGGTCGAAATTTGATCGTCCGGAAGTGTGTTCATGAGGCTGGCGGGCACGCCGCACGCAGAGACCACTTCGACAGCTTACACTCGGAAATTACCAAGAATGTATCATAATAGTAAAAATAATATTTACTAACAGATTAACGGTGCCAGAAAATTTCATATTTCAAATTTTACGGAGACGTTTACGGACGTTCCTCCTATCGCACATAATTCATCACGCTTAAAACTTCCACATATCGAGATTCCTGCTCAGATCCCGGTCCTACGTTCGCGTACAATAATAGCCATGGCGTACTCCAGAAAAATCCAAAAATAGGTCTTAAAAGTCAAGGAATCCTGTATTCGATGTGGTGAAAGCATATAAAAGACTACTGTATGCAGTAAGTTTGCGGAACTCTATATATTTCAATAGAAGGAATTTTTTTTTTTGCAGTGGTACGGGTCTTTAAAGATCACAACGATATGTACTTGCTTTCAGTAGAGTCGCTCCACCGTGCGTGCTTTGAGTTTAGGCACGCGCGACTTGCCGGGTTTTTGACCCAAGATTAAACGCTCTATTGTGTATGCATTTTGAGCACCATAGGGCCACCAGTGTTTTGGAAGTGGAGCGCTCCTATTATTGCCCGGCTGGCTGTACCTGCGACCGCCGCCGCTGCCACCGCTGCCGCCGCACAGTCCTAATGGCGGGGCCATGTGCCGCGGCCTACACAGCAAATAATTCATCTTCATCACACCGGTGTCGTCCATTCTGATGGGCGTGAAAAATTTAGGCCGTGGGCGTGGCGGCGCGCGGGTTCGCGGGGGCCATCGCTGAGCAGGGGGAAGGGGCGGCGGGGGAAAGGGACAAGCGCAAAGGGGGTAAATTAATTACCGTTATCAAGTAACGGTCGAGTTATCGTCGTTCGAGTTATTACTTTAAGTAGCGCTGTGTGACGCGGCGCCGCCACCCGCCGGGTAGCTATATATAGTATGTACCACCACCATTTATTATTAAAGTTTCATGCCGCCTCTTAGGCTCGCACAGCTCGCTCAGTCGCTGCCGCCGCAGAGCCCCCCGATGGATTTTGGTGCGTGTTCGATTTGAATAGCCCGCCGCAGCAGCCAGCATGAACGCGCCCTTGCATTCGCTCTGGATGGCGTGAGGAGGAGGGTGAGGGGGCGAGGGGGAGCGACGCAGGGTCTGTTGATCAGTTAAGTGTATCATACATCTGGCCGCAAGTGAGGCGCGTCGGAAGGGATGTGTGTGTGTGTGAGAGAGAG